ATTTTGCCCGCGGGGGGTTGTTGCAAGGCTTCGCTAAAGACGGGCTTGCGGGCCAACCACGAAACGGGGGTAGACGTCCCCACGGCCCTCGCCCGCGCAGAGCCAGCTCTTCCGCTCCTGCAGTTGCAGGGAATCTACTCTTTATGCCGCACGTAATCCTGGCTTTGCTGCTCTGCCACAATATGTTCGCTCAACGACGCTTAATTTTCTAGAAACTATTACTAGGGGTGGCAAGTCAAACAAGCTGCTTCTCAAAGATGTTTGGCACGTTGCTAGTCTTACTCAAGAACAATTTTTTTTCCTGACGAGGTGTTAGCATTTTCTATTCCAAGTGATACAAGACAGTTACAGTAACCACATATTATAGTTCCATTTCTGGACGTGGAGGGTGATGACGCATAGATACACCCAATTAAGTTCTCATACTACTTTTCCCTTTCTCTCTGCTAAATACAAATGGCAATGCAAGGGGCTAGCCTGTCAATACTCTCATATCTCTTACCAAGTGTGACAACGCTAATGTTACAGCAAAAATATACCTCCGAATAGTCTTGCTGTTCATGTCGATATCCCACTTTTTTCCAATAACTTCATGGTCTTAACTTTGGCAACTTCCCAAAAAAAGCATATTCTGAACTGCCGTTATGGCACATTTAAAAAAAAAATCATTTTATATATTTTGAATTTTCAACTCAGTTGCTACCCTTTTAGATAGTAATGGGGGAAGCAAAAGAGAAGCTCATTATCACATTACTTTATTGCGTTCCATTGCATCCCATTTAAACGCAATCTCTCTCTAAACATTCTTCCTCAGCCCTTAATCAGCTTTACCACCTTTCTCTGAAACCTTTCCAGTTCTGCATCTGTGGGAGTTTTTTAATGACATGTTCAGTGAGCACAATTCTTCTAAATGAATTTGCACTATGGATTTAATTTAAAAAAAAAATCCATCATCTGTACATGGTACTTCATCATTCCTTCTGTGCTGGTAAGCATTCATTTAACAAAAACAGCCTTTCACTTTTCAGACATCATACCAAGGAGCCCGTATTGAGCTTAGAAAACCTAAAAATCAATTGTATAACTTAAACATTTTTCCTTCCAGCCTGCATTGTTTGCATTTCTCAGAACTGAACGATGCTAATCAATCCAATCAGCCTTCTCAGGTCTCTTTGAAGTTCCTCACAGTCCTCTGTTTTGGTCTCAACTAACAGATAACTTTCTCCAATATAAGAAGTACTTCTCATCTCTTATTGTTTAACCCTTCTTAAAGTTAAAATATGTTAAGGATATCACTAAACATTAAGACATTTTATAGTTAATCTCTTACTGAGATTTAAAAAAATGAGCTACCAAATTAATATATTCTTCAAAAAAATAATAAAGAGATCTCAGAGATCTTTTTCCAGAGACTATATTTAAACTACGGGGCAGGCATGCTCCACTGTGTGCTTTATACTTCTACTCCTGATCGTCCAGATACAATTAGACTGTGCTTTCACTCCCTTTGCCCCTCACAGTAAGATCGCCTTCTGGTAGAAACCAGACAGCTATGGAGGTGAGAAAGAAAACAACAGTATGCTTTAGGTCTCATCCTTAGAATGAGGAAATAGCTTGGGCACCCTCCTGCACCTTGGGAGCAATCCTACCCTCCCATAGCACAGATACAGCCAGAAAGGAACCCATTCAGCTACTGGTACGGATGTGAAGAAAACACAAGACCTACTTACAGAAATCTAGATAAGAACTGAGAATCTGGCTTTAAAAATGTATAATCATCTTGCAAAAAAAGGACAAAATATATTAGTCACATAATTCACAAGTTAGTATGACCATATATATGGACAGCGTCATGGAGAGGTTTGGTTTAGGGGAAAAGTTAAAAAAAATTTGTTTTACTGAACAATGGGTACAAGGTGCCAATCACTGCATCCTGTTGTAACCCCAGTTAGCCTGCAGAAATCCCCCACTGCCACAACTGAAGATTAGCGGAGGGCTAACATGTCACCTAGCAGCCCGTACCTGTCAGTCAAGCAGACTACTCCAGAAGGCAGGTGAGTCTACATGGCCATCTGCAAAGAGGTCCACATTAAAATTAGGGATTGAAACCAGACCACTCCGGGGAGCGGTAACCGAAGCGGCACGCCGGCTTGGCTGTAGCCTGCTTACTGTGGAGCGCACATGGCGGCGGCACACTGCGCCTCGTATGGCCTGTTTAGTAATCCTTGGGCTTGAAGCGGCACCAGCCGCCCCAACCCGGGCATGACCTGCTTGTCCCTTCCTCCTCCCCACCCACGGCTTCCGGGGTAACCACCAGGTACCTTCACCTTACTGGTTTGAGCTCATGTTTGTGCTTGTAATGACTGTAATTGTTACTGTGCTGTGTTGTATGGGGAGTTCAGCGTGTGGTTACTAACTAATAGTGTATTGTTACTATTGTTTTTGTTATCACTAGCTTTTAATTGTTATTGTTACCAGCGGTACATATTAAACTTTGTTGTTCGTTTTTGGCCGTTAATTGTGAACCCAGTCATAAGTGACAGGGACAGCTATACCGCCACCCGAACCCTTCTTGTAGCGTGGAGCGCTGTGGGGACCAGAGCGTGAGGATGCTCTGCGGTCGGCTCAGCTGCCCCTCCTGGGCCTCCCGCGACAGACAGAATAGGCTTTCTTTAAAAATGTTCATGACGTTCTTCATTGTGAAAGCCCACCTAGAATAATCCCATATATGGATTCTCATTCAAAGACATGAAAAATTGCATTCCTATCACTTCCAGAATTTGCAATATACCTCATATTTTAACTTGGCTTCTAGTTAGGTTTTTGCTAAACATTCTTCAAATTTTCCATCCATTTCCTGGCTCTGAGCTTCTGTGAAACATTTATAGTCTCCAACAATCACATAGAAAGAACAATGAAAAAGTTTTATGTATGTTTGAAAGTGTAAGATTGCACGTAGATAATGCATGCTGAAATGCTGATAGAAAGGGCTGTTATGAGCGGCCTTACTGCCTTATTTCATAACCACAGGGTTCATTCAAATTAAGCATGGCAATTACTGTTTGAAATTAAAAGACCTTGCAGGAAATTTTACGACTTTACATGCAAGCACCTTTTAAGATTATGGCATCTTCCTACTACTTTGAGGTGAATATTAGTTGACAACACATAAAAAATTATCATCCATGGTTTAAATGCTTCAGTTCTGTAAATGGAAGCTTCTAGTAAAGATATATATCTTACCAAATCTTTGAAGACATTTAGTTTGCAATTACGACTTCTTTGACCAATTGGGAAACTGTTTTGAAACCACAGAGACTGCTTTTATATAAATGTACCTTTTCTGAAACAAACAGAAGCAAACTTGCCACATGCTTCACGGGATCCACTGTTTACTGACAGGAAAATAGGGTTCTCTGAAACAGGATGCATCTTCTTAAGCAGAGAGAATCACAGAAATTCAGCTATTTCTAATCACTCTTCTTTATAATAAATTCTGAAAAACAGTAATTAAGTAAAATAAGTAAAATTAACATGCCTAACACTTCTCATATTTGAACCAATGAAAGAAACACATTCTATTACAAGTCAACTAGAGCACAGAGTTAAAGAAAAATATTAAATTCTGCCACAGTAAGGTGGTTATTTTAAATGTCATTTGGAACTCTTCCATACCTGAAATAGAATAACAAACTATAAAAGATAAAATGCACTCACTTCATTTATTTCCAACAGATAACGATTTATGATTCCGGATAAATATTACCATTCTTATAATTTAAGACCCTGATCCTGCCATCACATGCATATTCTACTTCTAGGCATGTTAACCATGCCACTGGCTATGCCTATTCTAGTAAACTGATCAGTGCTAGGAAACATTTGCTGGCTTTGAAAATGAGTGGCCTGGCCACCCTCTACTCAATCATATTCTCTTCACCTCCAAAACAGGTGGTGTTCAAACTTCCTCTTGGGAATGGCCCATTCTAGATATTATCTGGGGAATAAAAATCACACCAAGAGCCATGAAAAGACTAACAGTAGAGATAACCACATTCTGTGTCTGGGAAGAGTCTCTTGTGCTGCTTAATTTACTAGTTTAGTCATAGCTGCTGTGGCCAATGTGCATGAAACTAATTTCACAACATTATTTTCACAATCAGAGTCTATCAGTAATGAAAACTGACAATTACACAGCCCAGTTTCTTCAACAAAGAAGAAGTTAAAAGGGCTGCTACGTTATGCAAGACCTCTTCCACTCTTCAGATATTAAAAAAAGGTGAAATTTCCTAAGACAAAATGAAGCTGTTCAAGAAGACACTAGAAGATACACTAAGGAGGACAAATCTCTCTCAGAATTGAATTTCTGTAGTATATACCCTGATGCTAAGCACCCCACTTTTCTGTGTTCTTCCAATAATTAAAAAAATCATCACAGTTAATACAGAATTCCCATGCATTTCCAGGATTAGGACTTACTAAACAAGTTAAAGAGGCACACAAAAATACAACTTAGTATTCACAGCTAATACATTCCCCTTGGTACTGAGTTTGTTGATTTCTCCCAGTTGAGATTCCAAGGTAATTGTGCTCATTGTCCAGGAAACAGTCTTTCTTGCTTTCTCCTCATCTCTTCCCATCACAGATCCTAGTAGAAACAGTAAAGGTTTCCCAGACAGTCACTGCTTCTTCCTTTGACTGCAGCTTCTTATCCCAACTCTCGCTGATCAACTGTTCATCTACAACTGAGTTTGTAGCTTTTTTGGTCCAGTAATTTCTGAATTCTGTTGTAAGATGATTTGATATTGAACTAATATGAAGCAATTTTTGGTTTTATATTTAAATTAACTTTGTTATATTTCTTCACATGGGGTGATTGTTATAATCCCTATTTAATTAGAGAATTGAGCACATCCATGTGTTTGTGCATGATTAGAGAAGGTCTGTTTTCACTGCAATTTAGCTACCTCTTAATGTTTCTTTATGTATTCATACAGTGATATACTACTTTGCCTTTTTTTTCAATTTGCAACTATTAATCAGTCTGAAATAACTGCTTTTGAGACTGCTTTACAAATGAATACACTAAAGAAAATAAATTGCCTTGATTGCACATCTCTGATTCACTTTACAACCTTTAATTCCAAGGTCAGGAAAAATGTTGATTTTTGCCAAATTCAAACACTGCTTCCAGTTTGTAATTATCTCTTCTGTATGCATTTTGTGCTTAAATTTACTTCTGTGTTTCAGCTGATTCCAAGAGACTATCTAGAAAAGACAAACCTATGACTTAACCAGCTTCTGTTTTACTAATTTTTTCTTTAAAAGAAGGAAATTCAGCTTATTGCTTAAAAGTTACTCAATTATAGAAATGAAACTCAAACAGCAAAGTAAAAGCAGTGAGAAATACAGTCTAGAGAGGAATTAATATCTCTTTATCCAGAAGTCAAATTACTTTCAACTTGTACTTGCTTTTGTCAATATTTTATAATCTGTTTTCAGAGGAAAAAAGAAACTAACACAGAAATAACTTCACAGACTTCCCAAATGAAGTAAATAGTCTATATACAAGTTGTTCTGTTCTTGCATAAGCACTGAAATAACAAACATTAAAGTAAAAAAAAAAGAAGAAAAAGAAAATAAATTTCATTATCTAATCAGTGCTGACCTGAAGTTTTACTGGTACTCCAAATCCAAGCATCCTCATAGGTTCTACTGCTGGTTTCCCTTTATTGTTTAGACGTGAAGTCATCAACTCACTTAAATCCTTCCAAATCCGGTTAGCGCCTCTTACACAGCAAAACAGTTTAAAGGAGTTAAGTATACATTTTAGACTCATAACCTATTAAGTATATTTTGCTGAAGATCCTGTGCTAAGACTCCTTGCTCCAGAAAGATCTGGGTAGGACAAAGGTATAAGTAGCTATTATATTTTGGTATATTTTCTCCAGGATTAAATATGCAATCACTTTTTAAAATGTTGTTCCCACTAAGTATCCACAAAGTTATTAGCATCCTTATTTTGGTTCAAGTCTGTTGCCCAAAACATAAACCTTTTGCATAAATCAATGTCAAAGAACATACCTGAGGGTTTTTTTTTCCCTTGAATTAAAAGTTCAAAACTTTCAACACGTAAGTTCTACTAAATTTCATAAAACACATACCAGTCATAGGACTCTCTCATCTCTCTCACTCACAGATTTCTTGACGGCATCTTCTTGCATATTTAACCCAGAAGTAACTTTAGGAGGATATTCCACTAAATCGGAAGGAAAAATCAAAACATGGAGTTTAGAACTTAGCAGCCATTTTGGTGAGAGTGCCTACTTGCCTAAACTCAGTCAGGAGCAACTAAACCCACCTGATTTCAGATGCCTAGAAAGGAGGGCTTCCAAAAGAAAGGCAAATTTTTGTTTGGGAAAATGAGGCTACTGAGTGCTACTTGGCTTGCAATTTATCTCTAAATAATAGTAATGAAATGTGGCTAGAGGTTTCAATCATATATATTTAGGAGGTTTTTCCATAAGAAGAATTAAAAATTCTGAAAGATTTCAGGGTGGAAAGTAAATTAATGTAGTCTAGAGCCCTGCAGCTGCTCAGGCTGTCTTTGAAAAGAAAAAAAAATGCCTAAAGTTCTTTAGTATTTCACATTCCTGAAAGGGAAGTTATAGCTACGTACCTCTCCATTTGTGCCTGCAATGATGCTGCATTGTTTTATTTTTAATTCTACTGATGTTTTGTTGAATGCCGTATTAACCTAAGTTAGACTAAAGTTTCCTTTTAATCTGCTTTAGAATAGTCTTACTATTCTGCATCACGCAAAAATCTTATTACAGATCTTCTTTAAAAGTTTTCTGCTAAATAAAAGTATGCATTTCAATCAGATTTCATATCGTTCCTTACAGCAAGATTTCTAAATATTCTCAAGATCAGCATCACTTTATTCCTATTTACTTTAACGTAGGCCAAGGGTGACTGCTTTTGAAATTTTTTCTTGAAAACTGTTTCAAAACAATCATGTCTGTCTGTGTTCTGTGCTGATGATACTGTCTTTGAGTTAGTAAAGCTTTAGCAGGGTTTGGTATTCAATGAAGCTTAGAAAAATTTTGATTTTGCCAGTCCCAAATGCTGTGACTTGATTCCTATCTCTTTTATGTTGTGTTATGTATATAGTACTTATCTTTAAGGAATGCGGACACCCAGAAGAATTCAAATTCAGTTGATAAAAGAATTGGAGAACACTAAATCTTTGAGCCCATGCACTTCAAGTTATTAGCTTGAATATTCCTTTGTATTCAATTTCCTATAGCCAGAGGCATTTGTCTATCCTGATACTAAAATCACTGCCAGATCAAATACATGCCTCTGAAATTATGCAAGAAAGAATATGCCGTTCCCAGAAGTATCACAGGTTCCCTGTTGCAAATACTGCTCGGCTACAAGAACTGAATCAGTTACTGCTTTTCTGTACCCTCGGAAGTGAGCAGGTATTTTATATATAAGGATATATCAATTTCCATAGAACCGTCCTCTGCCCAGCTGTGTGGGTGTGGGTGTGTGTGCGTGTGGTGTGAACACACCATCTCCTCTAACTTCCAGAATGTCCAGGGGTTGAAATGTTTCAGTGCTACACATTCACCTTGGGTAAGAAATCCCATTACAAAACAACAGTTATTCTTAAGGTTGTGTGTCTTAAACTCTACTAAAATCTTGTTTCCCTAACTACAGGATCCTTAGCTGTGTCTTGAATGTGCCGCCTGCTTCTTCTCAGAATCCTTCTCCTTAAACATTGTCTTCTCTAGCCTTACTTGCCATACAGCAAGCTCTTTGGCAAAAACTTATTGGGCCCTACGTACTGTGTGATCCACCAAAGGAATTGCTGACAAAGGTGTAGTGTTCAAAATTGCAAGTGCCTTGTAGTGAACTTCTGGTATCTCTGGTAACATGTAAACAGTCTCCTCCAGTGCTGTGAGTTACATTTAACTTTAATGTCTAACTGGTATTAGCAATACTAGCAGCAATCAAGCAACAGAACTTGCTGGCAGAATAGAGAAAGAGATACTGTGCTTATCCAAACATTTTATCCAAGAATGACAGGCATATTTATCAACTAATCAAACCTGTTGTTTGATTCACTTTGTGTAAAATGATCTTTTCTGAAACAGTAGTCCATACGTACAACAGTAAAATTTGTGCTTTCACCCCCTTTTGGATTCCTATTGTTACAGAAAATATTAAGCTTCGGAATTTCAAATATTCTAATGTTATACCAGTCCCCCAAATATTGAAGTATTTATACTGAAGTCATTGGCTTTGACTTGATCACGAACAAGCCATTTCGATGCTGTGGAATGAATGGCTCATGGCTTTCTTTGCCTCTAGGAGGCTCTAAAAGGACACGCTCCAGGGAATGCAACTGTGGAACTGTGAAAGTCCTGTGCCTGCCAGTGAACTCAATATGTTGTTTTCCCATATATCTGCTTCCTCCTTTTATGTGGTTTTCACAAAAGTCTGTTCAAAAAATGCTCTAGAATACAAACCTAAGGACTTTGGTATCTTTGGAAGCCATGCAGTAACACAATAAAGAGACCTTACTGACAACATTTTACGAGATGGATAATAGACTTTACCTGTAATAATAGCCATGGTCATTACAGTACCCAAATAATTCAGTGTGTCATGAAAACAGTGTCATGGAACTGAACTGTCACTTTTGCTAAAGATACTGAGGTCAACAGGACTGTTAAACAGGAGAGGGCAGACAACTAGTGGTGGTCGCTTTGTAAGCCTTCTTAAAGTAGCATCCCTGAATTTATTAAGAAAAGATGTTCCCCTTACCTCCTGGCAGCACTACCACAAAACAAACAAAAAACCCACAGATTCCAGTTCCTAGTTACCTCATCCAAAACCCATTCCTTCAAAAAAACCACAAAGGAGTATCACCACCAATAGCCAGTTTCATTTCCCTCTGTCACTACTTCCCAAAGGTCCTGTTCTCGTTCTTCCTTCCCTTTCCTCGGATAGGTCTCTCTTCCCCGATCCAACACTTGCTAGCACTGCTGCCTCTCCCTCCGCGTACTGCACCAAGTGAGAGAAGGCGACTCCGGCACCTCACGGAGAGCACCAGGACTGCGGAGCCCCCCCCCGGACGCCGCAGGTACGCTGGCCTTCATCTCCAGTTTAGCAAAAGCCTGCAAGAGCGTTTTAAGGCAGGCAGGCAGGCGGACGGACGGACGGGTGGACGAAAAGGGGCGGCGGTGCAGCGGTTACCCTGGAGCTGAGGCGTGCCCGGGGCGGG